AATAATATAGGCAGCCACAATAATTTTGGTAATTAATAATATTTTGGCAACCAAAAACAATTTACCAGATCAAAAAAATTGTACAATTAATTAAACTGATACTTCTACGATTACTAATTACACAATGCAAATAAATACTATCATTTTGCTATAAACATTTGCATAATACACCCTACTTATCAAGCAATAAATCATAACAATACAAAAATCATTCAATCAATTAATTAGACTCCGTGTTCGATTCGAGACAAAATACAGCTCATTATTTCTATTTTAGATATATAATACATATTATTTTGGGATATACATAGGTGTTATTTCGAATCTGCATATACTATTGTTAGGGAGCGCAAATTTTGAATCTGCATATGCTATTGTTAGGATGCACAAATTTCGAATCCGCATATGCTATTATTAGGAGGCACAAATTTTGAATTAATGCTGGGTGATATCAAATCAATTTATTACAGTACTTAATATAGCAACATGCAATTAATTATTACTTGCAATTGTTTTGCATATTAAGTATAGTAACTCACAAATTATAGTAGATTAAATATGTAAAAAAAAGATATAAGTTCTCTGTTTTTTTAGTATAAAAATCTGTTAAATCAAATTCATACTGATAATATATTTTCTTTTATTTTTTTTTTATTTGAGAGTTATAATACAAGTATCAACTAATAAGCAACAAGAGAATATATAGTCTACTGAGACCAAATTGTTGAGACAAGCCCATGCTTGCAAAAACAAAAAACTTAGACATGATCAGAAACAAACCGATATGCTTTGTGAGCTAGATGTTGATATCCTATTGGTAACTGATGATATTGTTTTTGATCCATCTTGGCATCGAATTCAATCTGCCTCTCGAAATATATCTACTAATGATAGTATTTATTATTTGGAGAAGAAGTGGACAAGTATTCCTCTTTGTTCTTTAAATCAGGTATTATCTAAAAAAAATAAGACTTAGTATAATATATCAGCAAAAGAGTTGCTAATTGAAACTTTAATTAGAGAAGCAAAATTTTCTAACAGCAACTCTTTTGAGTTGTCTGAGATTCTGCCAAATTTTCTCTCTTTGATCTATACTGATATTATTAAAAAGACCGATATCAGTATTGAGGGATCATCTAATATTGCTAATAAGCAAGCTAATAAGCAAGCTAAGCAAGCTAATAAGCAATTGTGGATTGCTTTTGGTCAGTAGTTAGACTTAAAGAACCAGGATAGCTCATTAAAAAGAAAACACGTACGATAGCATCTTAGGTTATTGTAGAAAAAACTCCAGTATGCTAATGATATCCAAAGTAATAAGAATTTTCAAAATTATTTTGATATAGCTACTAAGCATAATACTCGAAAAGAAAAGGCACAGCTGATCATATCAAAACATAATAATCTCAAATCGATAAGTAAATTGGTCCAATTCAAACATATAACAAAACCAGAGTGTATTATGGATCTAAGTGGGCGAACATTAGTTCACTTAGAGCAATTCGATGATTACAATACTGTTATACTTGCAACTAATACTGTAAATAATTATTATTTTTATATATTGCAAAATCCTTTGTATCGAAGTGATGAATTTTGGACCAATTTCATTGAACATTTTGGGGCTTATACCAAAAACAACTTGCTTCCTTTTACAAGCTCTAATACTGCAAGTACGCATAACATTGATCATCATGAATACGTTAACAAATTACTTCTAGGTCTCAAGCCATTATCAGACTGTATTAACCAGTTTCTTCAAAACTATTATGAAGATTTATATACAAAATTGAGCAAGCTATCATGGGGCCCATTTGTACTGAAACCTTTTGGAGTTTTTCTAATGATAGCTATCAATTTTAATACTACTAGTGACTATTATTGGGATGAACATGATGAGACAAATAGTTTATGTGTCTTAGTTGTACTAGGTAATTATGAAAGAGGAGAGTTATGTTTTCTTAGCTTCAAATAGTCATACATCTTCGGGCAGAACAAATCATAGCATTTGCCTCACGTTTTTTACTCTATAGCAATTTTTCAGTTACTAAGGGAATCTGGTACAGTATTGTTTATTTCGCACATGACACATTTTTCCACCATTTACGAGATTTTATTAAAGTTTATGATGAGGCTGGAATTGAGAAAACGCTGATAAACCTAAGCAAGATCTTAATAATGCTCAAAGTTTGAACAACTGGGCCCAACTCTCCAAACCAAAACTAAAACAAATGTGGATCTCTTCTGCTATATCTGATCAGAGATGAGGATATATAGGTATAAATAGTTATATGATACTATATTATACAGTATATAGACAAAACTAGTTATTAATAATCAATATTTTTTCTAGATTTAGCATGTGCTTGATGAGGGTTAAAGGCAAAAGATCTACTTCCCAATTTTTAATATACTGTCTTTTATTTAATTTATTTTAATTTATTTTTAATTATATATAAAATCAATATATATAAAATAAAATAAAAAATAAAAATATGTCAAGTATATATAATATATAATCTAGTTTACTATATTGGATATTATCTATTGAACAATGTAAATGTCTAAGCTTTTTGATTGATCAATTTATATTCCGTTTTATAATTTATTTTTTTTAATATATTATTGCTTAAAAGCTTGATACTTCTAGATCAATTACAATATTGTAACACCATAATAATGATGATGTAAACCTTTCATTATACTATAAAAAACCCATAAAATAAAAAATTATTTTATATCATATCTAGAAAAAAAAGCCAAAACATTTTCAAAACCGAACTCACATCTTATTTACTGATTTCAAACAAATAAGTCCTAAAGAAAAAGAAAAATTAATCTCAATAGTTAAAAAAACTGACTAAAAAAAACTAATCCTTATCTTGAAGACTAGTTCGGTTCTGAAAATGTTTTGGCTTTTTTTTCTAGATATGATATAAAATAATTTTTTATTTTATGGGTTTTTTATAGTATAATGAAAGGTTTACATCATCATTATTATGGTGTTACAATATTGTAATTGATCTAGAAGTATCAAGCTTTTAAGCAATAATATATTAAAAAAAATAAATTATAAAACGGAATATAAATTGATCAATCAAAAAGCTTAGACATTTACATTGTTCAATAGATAATATCCAATATAGTAAACTAGATTATATATTATATATACTTGACATATTTTTATTTTTTATTTTATTTTATATATATTGATTTTATATATAATTAAAAATAAATTAAAATAAATTAAATAAAAGACAGTATATTAAAAATTGGGAAGTAGATCTTTTGCCTTTAACCCTCATCAAGCACATGCTAAATCTAGAAAAAATATTGATTATTAATAACTAGTTTTGTCTATATACTGTATAATATAGTATCATATAACTATTTATACCTATATATCCTCATCTCTGATCAGATATAGCAGAAGAGATCCACATTTGTTTTAGTTTTGGTTTGGAGAGTTGGGCCCAGTTGTTCAAACTTTGAGCATTATTAAGATCTTGCTTAGGTTTATCAGCGTTTTCTCAATTCCAGCCTCATCATAAACTTTAATAAAATCTCGTAAATGGTGGAAAAATGTGTCATGTGCGAAATAAACAATACTGTACCAGATTCCCTTAGTAACTGAAAAATTGCTATAGAGTAAAAAACGTGAGGCAAATGCTATGATTTGTTCTGCCCGAAGATGTATGACTATTTGAAGCTAAGAAAACATAACTCTCCTCTTTCATAATTACCTAGTACAACTAAGACACATAAACTATTTGTCTCATCATGTTCATCCCAATAATAGTCACTAGTAGTATTAAAATTGATAGCTATCATTAGAAAAACTCCAAAAGGTTTCAGTACAAATGGGCCCCATGATAGCTTGCTCAATTTTGTATATAAATCTTCATAATAGTTTTGAAGAAACTGGTTAATACAGTCTGATAATGGCTTGAGACCTAGAAGTAATTTGTTAACGTATTCATGATGATCAATGTTATGCGTACTTGCAGTATTAGAGCTTGTAAAAGGAAGCAAGTTGTTTTTGGTATAAGCCCCAAAATGTTCAATGAAATTGGTCCAAAATTCATCACTTCGATACAAAGGATTTTGCAATATATAAAAATAATAATTATTTACAGTATTAGTTGCAAGTATAACAGTATTGTAATCATCGAATTGCTCTAAGTGAACTAATGTTCGCCCACTTAGATCCATAATACACTCTGGTTTTGTTATATGTTTGAATTGGACCAATTTACTTATCGATTTGAGATTATTATGTTTTGATATGATCAGCTGTGCCTTTTCTTTTCGAGTATTATGCTTAGTAGCTATATCAAAATAATTTTGAAAATTCTTATTACTTTGGATATCATTAGCATACTGGAGTTTTTTCTACAATAACCTAAGATGCTATCGTACGTGTTTTCTTTTTAATGAGCTATCCTGGTTCTTTAAGTCTAACTACTGACCAAAAGCAATCCACAATTGCTTATTAGCTTGCTTAGCTTGCTTATTAGCTTGCTTATTAGCAATATTAGATGATCCCTCAATACTGATATCGGTCTTTTTAATAATATCAGTATAGATCAAAGAGAGAAAATTTGGCAGAATCTCAGACAACTCAAAAGAGTTGCTGTTAGAAAATTTTGCTTCTCTAATTAAAGTTTCAATTAGCAACTCTTTTGCTGATATATTATACTAAGTCTTATTTTTTTTAGATAATACCTGATTTAAAGAACAAAGAGGAATACTTGTCCACTTCTTCTCCAAATAATAAATACTATCATTAGTAGATATATTTCGAGAGGCAGATTGAATTCGATGCCAAGATGGATCAAAAACAATATCATCAGTTACCAATAGGATATCAACATCTAGCTCACAAAGCATATCGGTTTGTTTCTGATCATGTCTAAGTTTTTTGTTTTTGCAAGCATGGGCTTGTCTCAACAATTTGGTCTCAGTAGACTATATATTCTCTTGTTGCTTATTAGTTGATACTTGTATTATAACTCTCAAATAAAAAAAAAATAAAAGAAAATATATTATCAGTATGAATTTGATTTAACAGATTTTTATACTAAAAAAACAGAGAACTTATATCTTTTTTTTACATATTTAATCTACTATAATTTGTGAGTTACTATACTTAATATGCAAAACAATTGCAAGTAATAATTAATTGCATGTTGCTATATTAAGTACTGTAATAAATTGATTTGATATCACCCAGCATTAATTCAAAATTTGTGCCTCCTAATAATAGCATATGCGGATTCGAAATTTGTGCATCCTAACAATAGCATATGCAGATTCAAAATTTGCGCTCCCTAACAATAGTATATGCAGATTCGAAATAACACCTATGTATATCCCAAAATAATATGTATTATATATCTAAAATAGAAATAATGAGCTGTATTTTGTCTCGAATCGAACACGGAGTCTAATTAATTGATTGAATGATTTTTGTATTGTTATGATTTATTGCTTGATAAGTAGGGTGTATTATGCAAATGTTTATAGCAAAATGATAGTATTTATTTGCATTGTGTAATTAGTAATCGTAGAAGTATCAGTTTAATTAATTGTACAATTTTTTTGATCTGGTAAATTGTTTTTGGTTGCCAAAATATTATTAATTACCAAAATTATTGTGGCTGCCTATATTATT